CGAAACCTTCCTCTCCTGGTAGAGAAGAGGTGGCTCCTCTACTTCTGTTACGCGTTAACCATGTCGGCTTTACAACGGAGCACGGCCGGTTCCTGGTGGCCGTGTGGCCTGCTCGGTGCTGGTGCCTTTCCTTGGATTCTGGAGGAGGGCTCAAGGAGCACGCACCGTTATTTCTGTGGCACTCGTTACCTTTCCTTTCTGGTGCTTCCCAGCTCAGCTGGCCTAGTTGCTTTGTGCAGTGGATTTTCTTTGTGGCTTTTGTTCTTTGGGAGTCTCTCCTGTGCCTCTGCCTTCCGTGGCTTTTCTCAGTCTTTTGTGTCTTTCTGCAAAGATGTGAACAAAATTGAACGCTTTACCCAAGGGGACAATGTGTCTCTCCTCTTCTAAGCACAACTTGATAGTTCTGCTTTTCTGCTGCCCCTGCACAGCCAGCAGGTACCCACCGTGCTGCCGACGTGACCACTTCATTCTCTTTCTCAGATTAACATATTCAATCCAGGATGCCGTATGGAGGGTTCTTACATTGTTCCTTTCTGCAAATGCTCCTTCGTACAGCGCTTGTCTGTGCCCATTTTCACTTGCCGTTCACTCTTCCCTGTTTTCTCCTGTTTGAAGTGGCTTCCATTCTTCTTGGCTCACAAAATCCACGCCTCACCTCTCTTCCATAAATATCTCATCTTTTTTTTTTCTGGGGAGGCATGTGGGGAAACCGCAAGGAAGAGTGGTGACTGACTTGAATGGGCTTAAGTGTACTGTGCACCTCGGCCTTGGGTGATGGGGTTCGCCATCCTTTAATTATATATTGTGCTTTAGGAACAGTAAATAAGAATCTGGAATGGCACACTATTTAAATAGATATTCAAAAACCTTTGTAAAATTCGAAGGGATAGGTGCAAATAAGCCATACTGAAAATTGCCCTTAAAATAACAGTTAAAAGGAGGCAAAAAGAGATGAGCAGCGCTTGTGTCCTCGCTCCAGCCGCACGGAACGTGCCCTGCGCCCGTCCTGGTGGTTGTGATCCGTGCATTTCCTCACATCCTTCCCCCGAAGCAGCAGTAGGGGCTGGTTTGGTGCAGCACGAGGCAGCCCCCGCGCTCCCCACGGTCTCTCATGGGGTATCCAACGCGTTCCCTGCGCCGGCCGCGTTCCCGGCTGCTCCTCGCGGGGTATCCAACGCGTTCCCTGCGCCGGCCGCGTTCCCGGCTGCTCCTCGCGGGGTATCCAACGCGTTCCCTGCGCCGGCCGCGTTCCCGGCTGCTCCTCGCGGGGTATCCAACGCGTTCCCTGCGCCGGCCGCGTTCCCGGCTGCTCCTCGCGGGGTATCCAACGCGTTCCCTGCGCCGGCCGCGTTCCCGGCTGCTCCTCGCGGGGTATCCAACGCGTTCCCTGCGCCGGCCGCGTTCCCGGCTGCTCCTCGCGGGGTATCCAACGCGTTCCCTGCGCCGGCCGCGTTCCCGGCTGCTCCTCGCGGGGTATCCAACGCGTTCCCTGCGCCGGCCGCGTTCCCGGCTGCTCCTCGCGGGGTATCCAACGCGTTCCCTGCGCCGGCCGCGTTCCCGGCTGCTCCTCGCGGGGTATCCAACGCGTTCCCTGCGCCGGCCGCGTTCCCGGCTGCTCCTCGCGGGGTATCCAACGCGTTCCCTGCGCCGGCCGCGTTCCCGGCTGCTCCTCGCGGGGTATCCAACGCGTTCCCTGCGCCGGCCGCGTTCCCGGCTGCTCCTCGCGGGGTATCCAACGCGTTCCCTGCGCCGGCCGCGTTCCCGGCTGCTCCTCGCGGGGTATCCAACGCGTTCCCTGCGCCGGCCGCGTTCCCGGCTGCTCCTCGCGGTGCCGCTCGCGCCCGCAGCGCCCGTTCCAGGCACACTGGGACTGCTCCCCAGCATCTCGCGTTTGCCCCCGATGGAGCGGGCTGGGCATCCTGCCACATTTTCAGCCAGCACATGCTGCTTAATTGTCCGGATCTCAGCTGCAGGACAGGGTGGCTTCTTTTTCCTTCCTTTCCTGTTGATCCGGAGATCGGTTTCAGGCTGTTGACTCGAGTTTTTGTTCCGAGGTCTCTCTATGTGCGTGGGTCAGGTTTCATAATAGACTACCAAACACCAGTGAGAAAATAGAGCCCCCCTGACCTTCCGGGAGGTTTCCCACACTTTATGGGAAGGCCCTGTCATTACTCAGATGCTGCAGACGGCAAGAGGGCCCGTGCCAGCGTGTGCTGTGGGAGGAAAGGTGCTGTGCACACACACAGATCCCACTGCCTTCTTAGCTGCTTAATCCCTTACGGAGCAGTAAGTTCCCGCTGCAGGAGCAGCTGGTGCCCCTGCACAGAGCATTAGGGCTTTCCTGAATTGCTGTTTGTCGTCGCCTTCGTCCTCTCGGCTGCCTTGTCATGCACAAACCCCCGTGCGCATCCACGGGGTCCTTCCTTAGCACCGTTCAGTGCGTGCTCAGGCTGCTCACCAGCTTCTCTTCATTGGGCCATCCCCTGCGCTTTGTATTTCGTGCAGAAGCAGCTCTCTTTCTTGGCTTTTTGCTTTTGTTTTTCTTGCTCTTCCTCTCTCCAGGGAAACATTGGCTCATCGCTGTGAGGTCTGTGGAACCGTAAACCTGGTACACCCGGATAACCGGCGCTCAGGTCGCGGTTCCGTGTGCCCGAGAGGAGGTTCTGCTGCCCCGTGTGCAGGGAGGGAACCGGGTCGGAGTGACGGTCCCCGGGACGCGATGGGGCCGCGTTGGCTCGTCCTCCAGAGCTCAGCTGGGGGCCCTTGAGTCACCCCATGAATATGGAGTTACAGCTCCCGGGCCGCTGTGAAGACGGCAACACCGTCACCTGCGTTGCCATTTCACTGCTCTTGCCCTGCATGTGCCCTTATGATTGGGGTGAGACCGTGGCCTTACACAGTGTTGCAGCCTCCGCATTTCTCCTAGGATTCCTCCTAGTGGATGTGCTGGCAGCTGGATTCCTCCCTCACAGTGCAGACTGGAAAACTGCCTGAGGAGGAGAGAGATTTCCCGTTGTCTCCTAACAAGGTGTGATTAGATCATTGCAGCGACTCTGCCTGCCCGGCTTTAGCTCTTGCTCACGGGCTGTTCTAATAAATGACTGTTTGAAATCAAGTGTGTCAAGCTGAGGCTCTGAGGTTTGCTATGCAATCAGCTAGGTAGGTAAGGTGTCTTCTCACCCTATTATAAATGAAAAGCAACAAAAACGAGAGCAGTTTCGCTGGCCGGAGGAGAGTGCAGCAAGTGTGAGTGCTGCGGTTCAGGAGCCGCTGCCCCGCGGAGCGGAGCTGTTTCGCACTGCTGTGTTTTTAGCAGTGTCGGTGCTGATGCCTCGTGCCTGTGAACTGCACCCGCGTTTAAAGGCAAGCGAACAGTGCTAATTGACTGCAGGCCTCCTCTTTGCCAGCACACGGCTATTTTGGGTTTGCTTCTTTGCAGTTATTCCTTGACAGCCTGTTGGTTTTGGCCCCCAACCTTTATCTTTCTAATGCTGTTTAGCTGTGTTTTACTGATGTGCATCGCACTCTTCCTCTCTCCTCCTCCTTCCAGTTTAATAGATAAGGAACAGTAATTGTCTTTATGGAGGTTGTAATGAGTTCTGTCACCACACAAAGGAGCTCGCTAATAAAATAAATCAAAGCCGCAATGAATGAATGGGAAGCAAGCTTTTAAAATTAGATTTGTACTGCAAGCGTTGCGCTGTCACTCGCAGCATAAGAAAATATTACAGAGGCCCTGAGTTGGCCAAGTATGCTGCAAGGTCGTGTGGGGTTTGCTAGCAGGAGCTTGGATGTGAGCTTGGCCTTGCTGCCCCACAGCACCGCTGCGGAGTGGAGGCCTTAAAGTAGGGTTGGGAAGAGCATTTCGTATCCATCGCGGATTGTGTTCCTTTGGCACCTCATCACGCAGCTTTCCTTATCCCAGCGTTACATGTGTTTGTGTAATGCCTTGCTGTGTGCCTGGAGCTTCCCCACGGCCGCGAGGAGCCCTGGGCCAGCGGGTGCTGCTGCTGCCCTTCCCGCTGCGCTGCGGGTCCCCGCGGTGCCGCTGTGTCCGGAGCCGCGGCAGGTGGTTTCTCATGTTGTCCAAGCGAGCTGTGTCCTCTGGTCAGTGCACCCTGAGGACATTCCGGCTGGGAGCCTTTCCTTGGAGGCCAGGGGCAGGTTGGGCAGTGCGCAGGCGGCAGCGCGGATCAGCACTGGGATAACAAACCGCTGCTGTTCTCACTCAGGTTTGGGTCACGCCGAAACGCAGTTGCTCTTGAGCTGATCGGACTTTCTTGCCGCTGGTTCAGGCACAGCTGCTGCTTGTCGAGGCCGTTGTGCGTGATGGCCGAGGACAGGCCTGTTCCTGGGTTCCTTTGGGAATGCCCCTCATCCCGGCGTGTCTGGGGCTCCCGCGCGGGGCGGCTCTCCTGCGGGGTTCCCTGGGGACCCCGTTCGCGGGGTGGATGCGATGGGGCAGCAGGGCCATAGGAGCAGCCCTGAGCTGCGGGTGCTGCTGGTGGGGCTGCCCCCGGCCCGTGCAGCTCAGCCTGGGGAGGCTCCTGCGGCTCCTGGTGCTGTTTTTGCTTCCCGGCTCATGAACCGTTTGCACCTTGCTGCTTATCGCAAAGCTAGGCACATCTGTTGTCATTCTTAAGGCTTTGCACAAACCATTTGTGTAGTCGAAATGCAAAACCTGCCCAAATCTGTGTTTCTCAGTCTACCTTTAATGTCCTGGCTTAGAAATTACATTGTGCCCTTCTGTAATAAATCACAGCCAATACAGACTAAAAATTACTTCTAATATAACTGGAAAACTTCACATAAGTTGAGTGCAAATTTGTCCTTTTTCATCTCCTCTTCTATAGCAGCTTCTTAAGTCACAGCAAGGACAAAAGAAATGAAATTCTGTAGGAGTGTTTGTCAACTTTCTTCTTGTCTTTCTTGCTATAGCGACGTGTAATTAAGTACCCTGAACTATGGAAGTTGCCTGTGAAAAATATTCCACTAACCGAGAGCAACCAACCTCCATTAAGTTATACGCAGTCAGCAAATGACTGTAATTATTAGGGCCACTAGACAGAGCTGAAACTCCAAAGGACTTTTGTGTCAGAGCTAATAATTATGCAGCAGCCTTGGCCAAATATTTCTCTTCCTAGCTAAGTATTTAATATTGTCAGCATAGAATATTAATGGAATTGCCTGCTATGTGTGAAGCTGTTGACTAAGCTCATTGCACAGTGAACTGCAGAGGCTCAAATTAGCCCCAGTGAATGGAGATATCAAGAGCACCGCAGCAGCCTGCAGCGCCAGCAGAGCCGTCACGCTGCTGCTGTGGGGGTAACATCAGGTACAGGGACAGAGCCAAGGGCAAGGTGGTGCCCTGCTTCCAGACTCGAAGGATTGTCCTGCACAGTGAAGGATCCTTTTTTCTGTAATTATTTTTTAGGTATCTCTGGGAAGTACATATGAATATATTTCTTAAACCTATCAGATTAGCTGGTTCAGGAAAACACATCCTTTGACTTAACTTCCTTGAACAAAAAGATTACATCTTGAACAAAAAGATTACATCCATGCTATAAATAAGGAAGAAAAGGAAGTTGTTGTAGGATTTTGCTGTGGAGTGAAATCATCCCAGACTGGGGGTGGGGAGGAAACCTCGACCGATTCGAGGCATTAACCGAGCATCAAGGTGGCATTCTGCAACGACCAGTGTCATCCAGTGACTTTCCAAGGACTTTCCTTTGGAGCTCTTTTTACCAGGCAGGGATTTTTACTTAATTGTAAGGTTGCAAAAGCAATAAGTACCTGTCAGCAATAAAATCGTATCAGAGAGATCCCAGACTTTGCAGTGATAACCGCATTTAAAAAAAAAAAGAAAAAGCAGGAGTGTTTTGTGTTTTGGCACTGAAGCAGCCTCGTGAGTTTGCCGGGGTGTTTTGTGTGACCTGCGCTGCAGAGGTGGCCTCCCTTCCTCAGGACACCTGAGGTCTTACATGGCAGTCCGGTTTAATCGTTATGGTTACCGTTGCTGTAATAATGTATGTTCATTTAAAAGGTGTGTTGTGTGCTGTCCTCTGGGTGCTTGGATTTTTTTCTATTCTTTTCTCTAAAGAATGCAAAATTAAACTGTTTAACCATTGGGCATGATAGTGCTGAATCAAAGCTCGCATGGTTCTTGCTAGGTAGTTATAAGATTGGAGACTAATGGAAGGGGGGAAGGATATTTGGGAAAGAAGATACTTTAAAGTAAAAATATATATATGTATATATCTGTATTAAGCTTTTTCATGTCTTGAAAGTTTTTTTTAAATTTTTTCTTTCTCTCCCCCTGTGTGTAACCAAGAATGAATCTGTGTGTGCTGTTGCGCAGGTGTGGATGTGCGGCGGGCGCATGGAGGACATCCCGTGCTCCAGAGTGGGCCATATCTACAGGAAATACGTTCCCTACAAGGTTCCCACTGGAGTCAGCCTGGCACGGGTGAGTGGCAGGGACGTCCCCTCCTCCCGGCCCGCCCGGGGACGGCGCTTTCCCGTCACCCCGCGGTGGGGACAAACCCGGGCCCTGCAGCTTTAGCAGAGGGGATGCCGCACGCTGGGGCGGCCGTAGAAGCTGCAGCCTCTTCCGCAGGCGCAGGGCGGCGTCGCAGGGCGTCCGGCCGCGGCGTTGCCGTCGCGCGTTGGCCCTGGCGTCCCCCCAGCACCAGGATGCGGCTGCGTTGGTGTCGCGCCGTCCCTCCGTGCTGAGCAGGGCTGCGCGCGGGGGTCGCGGTTTGGTGGGGGAAGGACCCCGCGCCTTCCAGTGCGTCGGCGCCCGGCTGAGCGCGCTGTGGTTCTCCCTCATGGACACCTCTGTGCCATCTGCTTCTGAATGTAGCGTAACCCAGAGCTGCAGCCGCCCCTGCTTACCCTGCACTGCCCTTCTGCAGTTCATTCCCGAGTTGGGAAGGGTTGGCATTGCCCTCTGGTGGGAGGAAATAGCCATAGGCACAGGAAGGCTGCAAGGCTCGGAATTACAAACGGGACCCTGTTGTTCTTGCAGTCTGTGTCTTGCATGGCATTGACAGGTTTCTTGGTTTAATAGTTTCGCCTTAGTTATAGGTTTGAATTGTATTCTTCTGGCCAGTGATGACCTGTCAGGAAGGACCTGAATTTCTTTTTCTTTTTTTTTCTTTTTGATCTAAGCATTCAGGTCTTCCATCTTCTCTCCGTGCTGGAAGGTGGTGGGGAGCAGGCGCCAGGAAGGTTTTTTTCCTGCCATCTGAGACTGTAAAGTCGTTCATTGTCTGAGAGATGTAAATTCCTGCAGGGCCTCTGAGTTCTTAAACTGTTTTTTACACAAGCAGTGGGAGAGTATTTTGAATTTATGCTGTGCAGAATGAGGGACTGCAAGTCCCATTCCTAGAGGGAATCCAGTAGGAAAGATGTAAGGGAAGTTGATGGTTCTTTGTTTTTGTTAGGACCTTTGAATGTCCAGGGGTATTTACCAGCATCATTCTCTGCTGCTTTTTGAAAGAGGGAAAAAAATAACAATAATAATTTTTAAAAATCTCAAAAAACCCTTGACTAATCCTTTTTTAGCCACGAGGAACTAGATATAATGGCAAGGTGTCAGAATCTGTTCTGACTTCAACTGAAAATATCTTTCCAAGTTCCTTGGACCTAGAAAATAATACAAATAATCTTAATTCTAAAGCTGGAGGGAGAAGAGTAGAAGTGAAAGAAAATCCCTTGTGAGCACACACACACGCGTGCTGTTCAGAATGCTGATTTCAGCCGTCTGTGTCGTTCTCGTGTAATCTCTGTCCCCCGTTCTCTCCCTGTCGTTGCGCAGAACCTGAAGCGCGTGGCCGAGGTGTGGATGGACGAGTACGCAGAGTACATCTACCAGCGCCGCCCCGAGTACCGGCACCTCTCCGCAGGGGACGTGGCTGCGCAGAAGGAGCTTCGCAACAACCTCAACTGCAAGAGCTTCAAGTGGTTCATGAACGAGGTCGCGTGGGACCTGCCCAAGTTCTACCCGCCCGTGGAGCCTCCGGCGGCTGCCTGGGGAGAGGCAAGTCCCGCGCGTGTCCTGCTCTGAGATCTGCAGCGCGCAGAGGAGCTGCAGCTTTGTTGACTCTCATTGCTCCCGTGGCCCTGTTTGCCGTGAGCACAGCGGCGGGTGGGTTATAAAGATCCTCTTGCTGTGTTTGGGAGGCGAGGGCTCCCGTCGCCTTGTGTTGGCCGTGCTCGGAGGAGCAGCAGTTCCTGCTAGTGCACAGCTCCAAGGAGAAACTTGGCTTGTTCTGCACTTCGTAAGTTTAGGCAAAGACACAAGACTCTAATGGGGAGGATTAACATTAGGAGGCAGCTGAGCAATAATAGAAGTTGTATATCTTCAAAGGGCCGCACAGTTATTTTGAGCTGCTCTGCTCCTACTCTGCAGCTTCCCCATCTGTAAGCCAGGAATGTCTGTCTTTTAAAATGCATCTGGACTGTGATCACAGTGCTGCAAGAGCCTCACTTCTCAGGGGAACAAGGTAGAGCTTTGCCAGATGAACAGGAGGGTGCTGGGCACCCCAAGGCTTGTGCACTAACCGCACTTGATTAGCTGTGCAGCAGGATGTGGCTTGTGCTTGGGGCAGGGTCTGGGCCTGTGCAGAGCTTTTCCCTGCACTTTGAAGTCTTCCGAATGAACAAAAGAAGCACAAGAAAACAATATGCCAAAATAATAAAAGAAAGCAGTAGCAAGGCAGCAGTAATAGGTAACAAAGTGAATATTAACTTCAAAGGTTGTACTGAAAGAAGTGATAGAGGAGCATCATGCATATTAATGACTCTGCAGGTGCATTCAATAACCACTTACTATCATTCTTCTGACAGGAGGCAAATGCATTATAAACACCCAACCATTCCTGGAGAGAGATGAAACCAGTCAGGCTATAGATTCACCCTCTTGATGTACAGGGTGCCAGAAATGACAGCTTTATTATAAAAGAAAGGAGGGAATTATTAGTTTGTCTAAACTGCAGCTGCTGAGCTGAGAAAAGATGGAGAAAACAATGCCTCTATGGCAAAGCTATACATAACTCTCCAGGGAACGGCTTCAGTCACAGGAGATAAAGGGCTGTTGCATATCAATTTTGATGCTTGAAAACCAGAAATGAAACCAATTTACTGAGGCGCAGTCCTTGTGGTGTCAGGAGGTTCATGAACAGTTAGTGTTGGCTTATGTTTAGGAGGAGAATGTAGTCTGGGTTTTTGTTTAGCCTGAACCTAAGTGATTGTGGTAGTTTGTCTTGCAGGAGAGGTTTGAAAGAGCTTCTTGCAAAAGTTCTTGGCTCTGTTGCATCCCAAGAGCTCCTGGTTTTCACTAGTCTTTCTTACGCCCGCGTTGATGTCTCTTCAGTGAGGACTGTTCACGCGGCTCCGGAAGGAGCCCCGGAGCAGCCCCGGGAGGGCTGATAGCCTGGCCGCACCGCGCTGCCTCGTGCTGCGCGGGGAGGAAACCCGCACCCCTCTTGGCAAAGGGGGTGACAAATCACCAGCACCTGCATTTAGACGAGTTTGTGTCTTGTGGGACGCAGTCCTCACAACGTGTAACACGCGTAAGCCAGGGCACAGTGGTTAGGCTGAAGATGCAGCTAATCTGGAGCAGTGGCCAAGAGCAGGTGCCAAGCAGCAAGGACCAGGAGCAGAGACATGTGGGGTGCTGGTTCCACTGACTCGCAGCTTGCAATGCTCTGGCTGGGGGGTTGGCCCTTATCTGCTGCCCTCTTGCACCTTACACCCGCGCCAAGCCTGTGAGGCGTTGATAGGGTAGAGCTCGTTCCTCGAGCTAACACCCTTTCTCTTCTGTAATAACTCCCCCCGCTTTCGTTTCACTCCAAGAAAGAGATCAGGAAAGCCTGAGAGATCATTGCAGAGTCGGCGGCAGAGAGCGCCAGGAAGCATTTCCCTGCTGTTTGCTCTTCTGGTGCTCCCATGGATCCTTGTTGGGGAACACGTTGGGACAGGCTGTTTTCAAGGTACCTGCAGAAACCCGCACCCCTCTTGGCAAAGGGGGTGACAAATCACCAGCACCTGCATTTAGACAAGTTTGTGTCTTGTGGGATGCAGTCCTCACAATGTGTAACACGCGTAAGCCAGGGCACAGTGGTTAGGCTGAAGATGCAGCTGATCTGGAGCCGTGGCCAAGAGCAGGTGCCAAGCAGCAAGGACCAGGAGCAGAGACACGTGGGGTTTTGTTTCCAGAGGTGGAATCAGCTTTTCTCTGGAAGCATTTTGTCCTTTCCCTGAGGCCATCCCCACTGTGGGCAGAGAAGGGAATGTCGCTGTGCCGGTGGGAGCACCGTTCCCTGCTGTCCTGAGGGCCCTCTTTGTCCCGGCAGATATTCACCTTCAGCTGGAGAGAAGACATCCGTCCCGGGGATCCTCAGCATACCAAGAAGTTCTGTTTTGATGCCATTTCCCACAGCAGCCCTGTGACCCTCTATGACTGTCACGGAATGAAGGGGAACCAGCTCTGGAAATACAGAAAAGTGAGTGTGCATTCCTGTGTGTACTAAAGTGTCACATCATCTGCAGGTAGCTGCATTTCTGTACAACGGCACCACTCATGTTTCAGCCTTCAGTCCATGTGGCTCTGCTGAGAGTGTCTGCGGGCAGGTTGTTGTCAGTGTGTCAACACGAGCTCTATAACAGAGAGGCAGCTCCCCCGTTCCTCCGGTTAGAGATGCCGAGCCCGATCCATCCAGGACGGGCCAAGCAAACAGATACTCTCCTTCCAATCCAATCCAGTCCACAGCTGGCAGCGACACCTCTGTGCTCCACCCTCCCAAAACCTGATTTTAAAGAGGTGTGATGGGTTTAAGGTTGTGTTTTAGACACCAGAACATTATGCCAAAGGATTTATTAATCCCTCTAAGCAATGCTTCTGTGGTAAACTGGTGAGTTTTGATAAATGCTCTGCCCTTGTCCTTGCAGTCTACATGCACTGTGCCATGGAGAGGCATCAGCAGAATGTGGCCTCTCAGCTGGGGAACCTGAGCTTAGAGACAGCCTTTGAGCTTCCCAGGGCAGATATGAGGATGGGGCTGGATGGGGCTGGACACGAGGAGAGGGCTGGTGAGAGAAGGCAGCACATTTTTTGCAGCCTCTGACGTGTGGGACAAGTTCTTCGGTTACATGGAACGTGGTGAAATGACTTGTCTTGGCTTTTAGACTTCTTTCTGTTTGTTTTGAAATAATTGTGCTTGTCCATCTGGCAACCTCATTCAAACTTCTCTCTCCAGGACAAGACCCTCTACCATCCCGTGAGCAGCAGCTGTATGGACTGCAGTGAGAGCGACCGGAGGATCTTCATGAATAGCTGCAATCCTTCATCTGCAACACAGCAGTGGATATTTGAACACACAAACTCAACCGTCTTGGAAAAATTTAACAGAAATCTTGATCTTTAAGAGACTGAAACAATTATAGTTTTTACTGGGGAGGGTTACAAAAATTTTTTTAAGAATACTTTTTTTTTAAATAGCTAATGAAGGTAAAAGGGAGAATCTCAGGAGAAGGTGTTAACTAGCAGGCCAGTCTTTATTGTGAAGATGCTGCATCCTTCTCTTCTGAGGATGGTGGAATCCAAAAGGCTTTTCCAGTCCGCTTCTGTGTTGAGACTGGAACAGAAACTCTGTTTAGAGGAGCCAGAATGTGATTCAAACTTTTTTAAACTTCCCGCCTGGGTCTGGTGTAAATGATTCCGTTCTCCCTGACCCTTGAAGTACAGTACTTTCTGTAGTTGCTTTACCACCTGCCGAAGTGTTCACACAGATCTGCTTTACCTTCCAAAGTCCATAGAAGCAAAATCTTGAACACAAGATTCCAGTCCTCCCATGTCATGGATTTCCCTCCCCAAAATGACATCAGAATGTAAAATGAAGTTTTTTTGCCCTAAACCAAAATGTATTTTGAACAGGCCTAGTGTAATTACATTTGAAATGATAAAGGAAAGCACCCTAAAGGAGGTACAGCCCAGGAGGTGCAGCACTGTAGCTACAAGCAGTGAAAAATCTGTGTTTCTGGTCCATTCGCTTTGCAATCAGTTTGCTCACTGAATCCTCACATTTGCAGTGGGCTTCTAAGTGAACACAGTTCTTAGGGGTTCACTAAGAGATTGGGGGTATCAGTTCCAATTTTGCCTGTCATTCGGCATTTTTTAACATGGACACGGAATGGTTAAATCGCAGAATGGTTGAGGTTGGAAGGGGCCCCTGGAGATCGTGCAGTCCAAGTGCCCTGCTCGAACAGGGTCGTCTCGAGCGCCCTGCACAGCGCTGTGTCCAGAAGCTTTTGGTATCTCCAGGCAGATACGGAACTCCTCAGTCTCCCCGGGCAGCCTGTTCCAGTGCCATCACCCTCGCAAGAAGGAAGTTCTTGCTCCTGTTCGCATGGAACTTGCTCTGCTTCAGTGTGTGCCGTTGCCTCTCGTGCTATTGCTGGGCACCACTGAAGAGAGTCTGGCCTGTCCTTGTACACCCTCCCTTCAGATACCTACATATATTGATAAGATCCCCCCTTCATCTTTTCTTCTCAGGCTGAACAAGCCCAGCTCTCTTGGCCTTTTCCTCGTATGGGAGATGCTGCAGTCCCTTAATCGTGTTAGTCATTGTCACGTTAGTGATTTGTCCATTGGCAGCACTGCAAGATATTTTCCCTTCCAGTTTGGCGGCAGCATCTCCTGGATACAGAACCAGAATTGTTTCGTCCTAAGAGTTGGAGAAACAAAAAAGTGGTGATACTAAGAGATGAATAGGAGAACATTGGTTTCAAGTCTTATCTGTCGTGAGTGCATATTAAAAAAGAGAGTGATTCAAGATGAATTACTACAAAACCTGATTCAGTAGTTCATCAGACTTAAGTCTCGTAGTGAGAACAGGGGTGACATTTCCTGGTAAACACTGTGAATCAGCATGCAGTTAGCTCTTGCAAAGATGCTGCACAAATCGATAGTCCTGGTCCTTTTCCAGCGGTTCCCTGGCTGCGCTCAGTCCAGCTGCCCGTGGGGGAATGCTGCAGGAGGAGGCAGCAGGCAGTGGAAATGGAAGTCTGAAATCTTCTTGGGAAGAGCGAGGCAGCTCTCTGGGACCCTGATACAACACGATTAATGGACTGACTTTCTTTGGAGGGGCATGAAAGTTCTGCTTTGGGATATCTTTCCTTCCTGTGAAGTCAAGGTTTTTGCCTAGGGTCAAGAAACAAGTTGGTTTTCTGCCCACTATGCAGAGCTTCAGAAATAAGCATTTTTTAATATATTGCTAATAGCAGGATTACTGTCCTGTTTCAGAGGGCAGCTTTGAGGCTGAGCAGTTCTGTGTTTGGAAGCTGAGAGCAGATAGGACAGAACGAGCTGCCTCTTGGCCTGCTCGGTTTGGTGCATTGACTGCAGGTTGGGTTTAAACCACTTGTGCTTCTTGGCTCCTCCTTCCCTGAGCTGAGCCTGTCCCTGCCCTGGCACGGGCAGGCCCAGAGCAAGGGCACCGCAGGCAGCTGGGCCTGGGATTTGTCCAATATATCGGGGTCTCGCGTCTTGGGAGCCAAGAACAGTTTTGCAGCAGCATTTCTCCAAAGGTGGGAGCCGTGTCAAATGGATTTGTCATCTCCATAACTGCAATATGTCTGTCATTAGCAGCCCTTTTCATTCCTATGGGAGAGAACCCGTTTCCCTTGATTTGTGTCTGACTGTTGCTTTCCTTCAGTTACTAATTCTCTCATTAGCCCAGTAGTGCTGGCTGTGGATTGCTAAATGGTCTGCCTGGTTGTCTTTAGGTATGTCTTAGGAGCTGTGGAGTAAGAAGCTGTGTGTCCATGGACAGTGCCAGTTTATTGGGACCCAGTAAATGAATTATCAATAGACTGCGGTTATTCTGCTTGCAGCTTTGGGTGTCTCTGTTTCCTAATGAGAGGATTAGCCTCTCTCTAAAATGCAGGGTTTGCTTTGTACTTGGGCTCACCTTTGGAACGGGGCTTTGGAGCCCTGGCTGCTTGGCTTGCTGGGTGCAGGAGCGAGCAGGTCTTCACCTCTTAGTAATATCAATTTGGTGAGCACGGACAGCTCTTAGCAGCATGCACCAGAGGATGAGGCAATATCGAGGCAGGTCCTGTTGGACAACTAATTGCCAGTGCAGGCGTCCTGGAGCTTTGATGGGGGTGGTCCCACTGTATCCTTCTACGTATGGTCAGTCAGATCTGTTTTCTCCAACTTGGGGATCCGAGTGTGATAAATGCCCCACAATTTCTGTGCCGTTTTGACTGGCTTGCCAGCCCTTGAGCTATTAATTTATTTGCATCAATTATACTTTTCAATACCCTGGAGGCTTTGCTGACTAATGAGAAGACTTAATGTAGCCAACCATCCACTGATTGAGAAATAGAAGCTGTATTTCATCATCTGCCTCTTTGGCCGAGCCTTTGCTGGGCAATCTGGTTAATTATTCCAGTTACTTTGGGTTATTTGTAAGCAAAATTGCTAAAGCATGAATATATAAGCAAATCTTCACATCAGCATGCATGTCAGGAGTGGGGATGAAATACCTGTGATTGTCTATTGCAAAATAAATGTTTTTCATTTTCCCCCCAAAAATATTCAAACAACAACTCTATCTACAGCACCATAAATTCTACTTCTAAATATCAGAATGCCAGACCACAGGGAGATCCCTGGATATGTGTTATTTCACATAATGATACTTGGATTTGCTCTTGAAACTCTTGTTGATTTATATAGGTGCTAATCTCTATGGCCAAGAAACAGAGTAAGAGGTTTTTTGCTCCTACGTGTGCGAGGTGTCTTTCATGCCTGAGAATTTTCTTTTCCATGCTACAACAGAAGAACATGTGAGCCTTAATGAAAGGGGAATACAGCATCATTAAAATAAAGACGTGCCTTTTTACATGTAAATGTACAGCAAATGCCTAAACTTGAACCATTTCCTAGTGCCTTGCTGGACAAGAGGGGAGGGTGTATGAGAGCGCTTGACTTGTGTGGTGTTTGTGTGTTTGTGTAGTTTTTTAAATGTTCAACCTTCAGTGCATAGTTTTGGCAAAAGACAGTAATTTGGAAGCTCCTGTGTTTCTCTACTGAATTGATACTCGTAATGACTGGGGTTTGTTTTTTTTGTTTTCTGTCACTCTTAATAATTGGAAGCCTTGGAAATTATGGTAGCTTCATCTTGGCTTGGTGCAGTATAATCACTAAAGCCAGACCGAAGATGTCTTGATCCTTGGATGTTTCACTTCATGGTAAAGGCTCATGCATTTCACCTACATCCAAGATTCTGCATTTTATGTTTCAAATATCTAAGTCAGAAATAGTCCAACAGGCTTATTAAATCTGAGGTGGAAGAGTTTCTCGGCAAGTCAATGCCTTATATAACAGGGAAACACTTCAAAGGTGTGGTTTAGTCTCCAGTACTTAAGTAGCAAGAAGCAGAGTCTGCATCAGACTGGTCGCTGTGCTGGAAAGCTCCACTCAGCAGCTTTCCCCCTTGCTGAGTTGAAGTGTCAATGTGGTGCAAGTCAAACAGGCCCCATCCGTGCGTAGCACTGCAAGAACACTGCTCTCGTAGCCACTCTAGAAGCACCGCAGTAGTGAACCCTGCCTTATGTCACTTAGGTCTTTGTCCTGTCTCGTAAAACTCATATGGGACAATCACATAACTGCTGCATAAAAAGAGAGAATCTTTCATTTCAAATCATCTTTCAAGATACAGACAGACATTTGAATGGTTTTGACTGGAGAGAATAGACAGCCCCAAGCATTCAACCCATAGTGTTTTCGACTGAAAGAGTCCTTAACCAGAAGTTAGGTCTAATCTAGGCTGGCTTTAGCAGCCCGTGGGATTCAGGTTGCATCTGCATCCATTCCAGGTGCTGCATTTCATGCTCCTCCTGTATTTCTAACCATCTGCAGCCAAGGAGCCTCGTGGTGCTAACCCAGTCATTACCTGACAGACAGCAGTGCAGTGGGACTCCCATTCTCACAGTTATTTAGCATGAGCGCCTGTTTCAGTAGCGAGCTGTCAAAACGGGGAACAGCTTGAGGCTAATCCTTGGTGTTCGCGGGGTTGGAGTTAAAGGGTCTTTCCCAGGATGTAGTGAAAGGGGAGCTGCACTGGGAGACAGGAGTATTGGGGTCTGCTCCCAGTTCCTCAGCGCTCTTTTGCTTGATCCTAAGCAAGGCAAGTCTGCTGCAGTTTCCCAACCTGTGTCATATTTACCTTGGAGTGTTGTATTTGCTGCCCTAGTGTTGTGACCATATCTTAACACAGGCTGCAGCTCTTCACTGGTTAGGATGGAGGGGAGAGATTCAATGATAGAATGGGAATGGGAAAGCTGGGACCTGAAATGTCCACCAGGATTCATCACTGACCCATCAATTCATTTCATATTCCTCCTTAACCAGTCAGATTGCCCTATCCACGTTATAAATTTAAAGTATAGCTGACATAAACTGACCTCCTGCTCTGATTGTTCATTCTTAGTTTCATGCTTTAACTTGTGTATAAAACTAGAGTGGCAGATTATGGAAATCCTAATAAAAATCCTATGTCTGTTTTTTTTTTTGTTTTGTTTTGTTTTGTTTTTGCTTTTGCTAGCCAAGTATGCTCCTTTTATTTGCTTTATTCTGAGCTTTCTTGATGCTTTTGTATTACCCAGAAGGCTTCAATGGTTCCGGAAAATGTGAGGGATTTGGAGGTTTTCTTTAAAGCCTCCGGATCCTTGTGGACTCCAAGCTAGTTGTTCAACTCTAGGAAAGAAAGTTCTAATCCCAATTATCAAGCAAGCAAATGTGAACTTGGACAAGCAAACAAGGTAAAAACTGATCAGGCTAATGGACTAAAACGTTAGCCCTTATGTAACGGTAACAAATAGCTTTAGCCTCTTGGGTGATGAATGGAATTCATTTTAAAATGCATTTTCCAGGATCTTGGTGATAAGGTCTAAGTTTGTCTATCCTTGTATTGCATGCATTTTATCTGTAAAACTGGGTTATGTCTCTTGAACCAGTGTATATTTATTTCTGTGCATATTAGGACCAACAGCCTAATATCTGGGTGGTAAAGGACTCTAGCACTTTAATGTAGTAGCTTTCATAAATCGGGAATCATTGATAGAATGCCTAGTGTTTTTAAAGTTGAATGGACTTCCTTTTATAATATATTTAAAATAAATTTTTAATGTGTTTTCTGAGGCTGTGTGTGCTGCTCCCTGCCTGCTCCACAGAAGCGACGGGCTCCGCTCCGGCTCCTTGCTGCCCTCGTGCTGTTTCCCAGCGCGGTCTCCTGCCGCGGCCGTGCAGGGCTCCGCTCTGCGTGGGGACGGGGCAGCTCCCGTCCCAGCTCCGTTGTCAGCCGCTGGTGCGAGGCGCTGCAGGAGGTTTTGTGAAGGGCAGCGGTCCTTGCTGCGGCGTGCAGGCTGAGGATGGAGGGCTAGAGCCAGCTGAGCTGCGCGCGCCCCGTCCGAGCTGCCTTTGGGAACGTTCGGTATCACCCGACTGTCGTGCGGCTTAGGGCTGGTTGAAGCTTTTGCTGCATCTCTGCCTTGGGAGGAACTGCTGCTCCATCCTCATATTTAACTCCATGCAATTGGGCTAAAAAATAATGAAATAAGCCAAGGGGAATGCAGACAACGGCGTGTGTGAAAAGCTGCGTGTGTGCGGGGCGCACGTTTTAAGGACACACAGTTGAAGCATTTTAGCAGTGTCACAGTGGGTTCCATATAGAGCACCCTCCAAAAATGCAAAGGAGAGGGGGAGTCGGGAAAGGATACCCCAGCAATGTTTCCCTGGGCCCTGAGGTACAGAAAATGGAAATGGTCCAACGATACCTGTGTGGACATGAGCAGCTTTCTTCCCAGCACAGGAACACGCTCAGCTCTTGCAGAGATGGCGTTTCTGTCCCACGAACTCGAAATGACTCCAATAAAACGTCGGTAGCAGGTGACGGCTGCACAGCAGACATTGCAGAGGGTAGTGCTGCTCCAGTTAAGATTTACAGGTCTGCGCAAGTTTCCTTAATTTGATTAGAGGGCTGGCTTGGATGGGGATGCTATTATGGCCTCAGCGGCACTAAAGCTGCCTCCGTGCTGATGGGTTTATGAAACATTGTTTCTCACTTCACTGCTCTGCGCACAAAGAATTATTAGATCGGGTTAGTGATAGATACCTAATAAAAAATGTCTCTATGAAGCAGTTTATTTTACAGCGTGCTAGTTCCAGCCTAGCAGACTGTCAACTCTGGAGGCTCCTGTGAGGATGTAGTGAAATGAACTGCAATTATACGAAGATGTCTGCATGCTGCTTTTTCTCAGACTGAAAAAAAAAAATGTTGTTGTGTTAAGCTGAGCTAGCAAGACACTTAACATTTAATTAGCAAATCGAGAATGACGGGCAGTTTTTTTTTTTTCCCTTAGTAGGCATTGCAAAACAACTTGGGGAAAAAACATATATTTATTTACACAGGCCAAAAGGTTATGGTCAAAAATGAGCTATGCTGTGAAGTACCAACGCACAGTGGCCGCTTTCCAGCGGCTCCCTCTGTCCTGCACAGCGTTCCTGCAGCACCTCGGGAATTCGCCCACCAGCAGGAGGAACTCCTGTCTTTGGGGCATGTTCCCTCTTACCTATTTGCTTGCTGCTATTATCACCGGTCCCTACGGCCTGTGCTTTTAGCTTCCAAAATGTCAAGCTAGCCCTGCTGGACAGTCAAGACTTGTTCAGCTCTGCTGCTTGATTTTTACTGGTGATGTTATACGCAGAAATGTAGCAAGCTCCCTATGGAGCGCTCTGGGCCCTCCACATAAGTGCTGTCAGCAGCAGCAGTGGGTTTTTTTTCCCTAACAGGGATTTCTCTGGCGGTTTCGTTTGTTTGTCGCAGGCGGTTCGGGTGAAGACCTGCGGATGGACTCGTCCGCTTTCGCTGCGTTCCTGCCACGGAGGCCTCCTGGCGCGGGGTGCCGGCAGCTCCCGCGGTTTCCCAGCAAAGCAAGGACGAGCGGGGACGGTTCAGGTCAGCGCGGAGCCCTCGAACACGCGCAGCGTGCGGAGGAGCAGCAGGACAGCGCCCCACGCGCGGCGTCTGTTCCCAGACACGTTTCGTGCCGCCGCCTGGGGCACCCACGGGTGTTTCCGGGGCCGCTCCGGAGCCGGCGGAGCCCATGGAGGCCTCGGAAGGGCCTCCGCGTTTCGAGGTGTTTGGCGCGTGCACATTCAGCACAGCCCAGCCTGCGCTGGAGCACCGCTCCACGGGGAGCTCCAAAGACACTCCTGAACTTTTATTTTTCAGCCCTTCCCCGCTCCCCGCATGCCCGTGCCAGGCGCCGGTGCCGCCGGGCGTTACAGCGGTGACAAGGGCATCCCGCGCGCTGCAGCAGGGATTTCGGTCCCGGTGGAAACGAACGCCAGCTCCGAGCCGGGCTCAGGCGGGAAACGCTTCTCGGGGCTGTTTTGTACCGGGGGTGGCGCTTCCTGCCGGGGGGGGCTGCCTG